TTGAGAACCCGAGCAGGTGGTCTGTGCTTATAAAATTCCAAAAGGTAAAAGCCTAGGAAATACTACATTACACCCTATAAATAGCTTTTGGTTGGTGAGAGATATGTGATATAGACCACAGTATTTTTCTTTTAATATTGAGGTGACTTAATACTGCCAATCACATATCAAAAAAAAAAAAGAAGCAGTTGCATTTTTTTCCTAATAAAGAATAGTAGCTGGAATTGAGTGAACAAATTTTGATTTTCGGTGTTTTCTAGCTGGATTGTCCATGAATGAGGCTGGTATCAAGGGATTGTGGTCATTCTAGTTACTATTCCATTCTTTCTGCCACCCCTCATTCTCAACCAAACCTTTGAAGCAACAACTAACCCACATCTGAAAGAATGGCCCAGGTTCTATCAAATACTAATTTGAGTTTGGATTTTTAAAAATGCATGGATGATTCTCTGTAGGCTAAAAGCCTTTATCTATATTTGTTTGGTTCAATACATTGTTCCTTATTCTATTTCATGGCTTACCAACAATGCAAAAATGCATTTCACTTGAACTGACCATAGAACAGTCTTGAGGTTAGAATAAGTTAGAGAAAGATGGATAAACTTTAATGCTGTTGGGAATTCTGTCTGAAACAAGTAGGACCTGAAGTTGTCTATTGGGAATTAGAAGGTATTTGATATTTTCTCTAGAGTTTGGTAATTAAGTTGAATAAATGATACTTTCAAATAATTCATTCTAAGACTTAAATCGCCACTTATATTATTCATAAAATTAGTATAGCTAGTACAAAAAAAACTTCACAGGCATATCTGATGACCACAGAGGTCATACTGAAATGGTGGAAAGCAATAGGTCAATGATTTATTTCCAAGATTCTAATGTTTAAGTGCTTACCCAATGAACTCAGTACGAACTGGTTACTTGTTAATTCTTAATTTAGTTGATACCTTCATTTTTGTTATTGTTATGTTTTCTCTGAGTTTCCCTTCTAAGGAAGATTTCTTCATATGTATCAAACTTCCTGAAATACTTTTAGGGGGTGAGAGAATGGTGGGGTTTGAACTCAGGGAGGATACTGGGTTTGGATATAAAGCCTTGCATCTGCCAGGCAGGCACTCTATCACTTGAGCCACATTCTCAGCCCAGCTTTAAGTAATTTAGATGTCACACTTAATTCTCATTTCTTATTACTCAACCCTGTCAGAAAATATTTTAGTTTTCATCAGCTATGAAAATTGGGTAAGCCTGAAATATACCAAAGTTCTAATTCCACTGCTGAGCTGTCCTGACTGACAGCCGAGGGTTTCTCAGAGAGTTTAATACACTCTGCAAATGGACTGGACAGATTAGAATAGAGTAATTCATCTCATCTGATCTGTTCTTCCCTATATACAACACACGTCAATGTTTGTTATGACTTTCCTGATCCTTATTTATAAGACAATACAGAGGAAACCATGTGTGTATGTTTGAAATAGAAATGATACATCACACAGATATAGTTCACCACGTTCTGGGATGGGTTGTCAGTGTTAAATGGGTAGTTTGGAGAGTAGGAACAGATGCTTTTTTTCCTTAATGGCCCTTTCTCTAATTTAAAACCCTTCCATTTATTTCCCTAAGATTTACTGATAACTTTAAACACTTTAACTAAATTACCCAGCGGCTTGGCAGCCATCACGGAAGCAAATCTTTTTAGAAATCCTAGCAATCTGTTAGATCATGGATGCTATGATACAAAATCTGTGTGCTCCACGTACAAAAATTAAATCAGTGCAATGGATACAAATACATAGCGCAAATGCCATCCTTTCCAAACAAGAGTACATGACCTGTCTCCAAATATTGAATTTCTGTGTTTTTATTTTTTAAGCCATTGACTTTCTAAATTTGAGCCAATTTATTTCATTATCCCTAACTAAGCTTACTTTGATTTTTTTAACAGTTATTTTATAATCAAATAGAGACAGCCAGCCCTGATTCATGGATCCTGATGTTGCTAGGATACATGGTTTGGTATTTGATGAAAGCATTATCACTTCAAAGGGGAAAACTTTCAAGTGTCCTAGAAAATGACACTCCTCTCTGGCACTGCAGAAGACAGGCCCAATCCTAGAGCTTCTCAGAAGCTCCAGACTGCAGGATTGGCCTCCCAATACTTGGATAAGCATCCTCTCTGGAGGATGGTTAACTGCTACTGCTAATCAGGTTAATCTTAAAGCAAGGAACACACGTATTTATAATAAAACACGTTCTCATGTTCATTTTATAGTGAAGAGAAAAAACCCAGAACCCCCAGATTTTATGTACTTTGAAAATATATTTAAAAACATTAAAAATTCTATATTTAAAACATATATTATATGTTAATTGGTACACTTAAATAGAACTTATATTTACAATAGGCTTCTGATGCGGTTACGTTTTAATGCCAATTTTTTCAATAACATAATTATATAAATATACTAAAATACAATAAATATTTTTTCTTGTTTTACATGGTGAATAATATCTTTACCATAGAGAGAACAAGGCCACAGACATTTACTTACATTTTCAATGGGAATCACTATAAAAAAAAAGCAACAGGTCTGCTGCCATGCATGAAACACTTCTGCCACAGAGACCACAGCAAGACTTTAAAAACGAAACAGAACAGAACGAGAACAAATAGCAACACAGAGAGATTTTAACAAAATAAATCTTAGATCAACATAAACCACCAAGCATGTGACTGTGATGTATCTTATTGGGTAAGAGAGAGCCGCTGACCACACAATTGCTGAATGTCTCCTGTGAAACTCTTAACAGATCTGACCCTTGCCATACTTTCAGATTGTGATAGGGACTTTTATTTTGCTGTTGTTGTTCTTTCTTTCTTTCTTATTCTTTCTTTCCTTTCCTTCCTTTCCTTTCCCTTCCTTCCTTCCTTCCTTCCCTCCCTCCTTCCCTCCCTCTCTCTCTCTCTCTTTCTTCTTTCTTTCTTTCTTTCTTTCTTTCTTTCTTTCTTTCTTTCTTTCTTTCTTTCTTTCTTTCTTTCTTTTTCTTTCTTTCTCTGTCCCTCCAAAAGAAGCTGTGAAAAGTTAATATTCAGTAGATATTCTATGCTTTCCTTACAGATTAAAAATAATTACAAAGATAATATTGTCAAAATGCCACACACACACACACACACACACACACACACACACACACACACACACACACACAAATCTATACTACAAAAAGTCTTTCTTTTAAAGACAGGTATTCAAGTTGGTATGGTAAAAGACAAGCTAGTTCAAAAGGAAACACTGAACAAACAAATTATTTGCTGATGGTATCTTCACTCCCTGAGTCACGGTGGACATAGTCTTTTGCTCTTACCCTACCAAGATGCAGCAATTGCATGTAGCCTTTTCTGATATTCAAGTTCAGGTAGTAACCCCTACCCTTTTCAAATATGGAAGTGGGTTGGATAAGTAAATGACCTTAGCACAATTTTCACTGGCTCGGTCCATTTTCCCCCAATTTAACTTCTCTCAATCCCAAACAGCAGAAGTATAGCAGGGACCCTCTCCATCAACAGACAAAATGGACACGATAGTGCTGTGGCCTTCACTGGGGAAATCTGTCCTGATCTCTTCTATGGAGCAAGGCACTTTCCCAAACTTTGTCTCTGGACAAGATTTTTAACTTATCAGGCCTTCATTGTTTAGCCTGAGTTTTGGGGGCTTTTCCTGTTCTCATTCTTTCTACCAAAAGCTCTCAAAAGATTAAAACCCTGGTTTCCTCAAATTTAGCTTAAAAGCAAGTAAGTGTTCTTGTAGCAAACATCTACCTCAGTGTACCAATCTCATGATCATAAATGCTACACTTGGCTCCAGACCATACTTTGGGCTAATCGGACTTTTTGCACACTGGATCCAGCAATGGGATGGAGAACGTAAATCAGCTTGAGCATGGTTCTCCAGTAGAGAACCTCTTGAGCACAGTTAGATAATGTAGGCACTTAAAGCACAAAGTCCAAGCAACTTGACACGTCATTCTAGAGCCAACTGTAAGGGGTCTCCTAAGGCTTTCCCTTTGGAATGTCTCAAGAACCATTTCCCATCTCTACCTAGACATCAAGCTAGGCCCTGAGAAATTCTTCCTGCACTGCCAGAAAATGATCTGTCAGCTCCCCTCAGCCTCCATAGGGCTGGTTCAGTTTTATTTCTCTGATCCTGCTCTGATCACTTGCAAGACATCAGTAAACCTTACCAAGATTTTTTTTTCTTTTAGCATTACCAATGATTTACTCAAATGTTTACCCTCATTTAAAAAAAAAAAAAGTCTTTATTTTGGGGTTATTTCTTATTGTTCAAAAAAAAAAAAGTCACTGATTTCCATAGTGCCATTCCATGCCATGACACAATTTGATCACAGCAGTGGTAAAAGATTTCAGAGCACGTAACTAATTTTTCTCCTCAAGATAAAACAAAATAGGGCAACCAGAGGGGGGGGGAGGGAAAGACCATGCTCTGAGCAAATGCAGATCTTTCTGATATACGCAGCTGTCCCTGACCCACACCCAAGGGTGAGCAGAGGTACCTGGGAAATGCATCCTGGGAAGTGGAGTGTGAGCTCTTTATTCAATTGCCTTAATTTGTATTCACTTTCCAGTCATCTGACTGATATTGCAAACATCTCTTACAACAAACAAATGTATCTATTTATCAACCAAAATAGATACCGAAGGAATTCTTTCTCCATCCCTATTCCTTGTGAGAACTGAAAAAAAACAAAACAAACAAACAAACAAAATAAAAACACAAAACAAACAAAAATATAACCCTCCCATCCCCCATTCCCTAAACCAGTAAAGCAATGACAACAGCACCTTGACATTGTTTTAATTCCAACTCTATCAGAAGTTAAAAGCAGTAAAACAGAGTACTAACAAGAACGAAGATACTTACTGTCTAAAATGTAAACGGAATGTTTTGGTTTCAATTTTTTGTTTCTGGTTTTTTTTTTTGTCTGTTTTCTGAAAGAGGACAGTTTATTATCAATTCACAATTAAAGCAGCATGCAATTTATTATTATCATTTTTTTAGACTTTTTTTTTTAAAGTTTTCAATTCTTGGCAACAAACCACAACATTATCGAGGAATGTAATGCAGATTTTTTTTTTTTTAAAGTTGTGCGCAGATGACTGTTTACGTTCTGGTCATGGATAGGTCCAATAAATAGGTTGTCGAACCACTGTAGTGTATAAACTTCATTTATACATGCAGTTCATAAAATTAATTTTTTCTTAACTGAATAATTTACCCTGTTATGTATATATACAAATAGATAATTTCCGTCTCAATATAATCTATACAACATAAATCCACTATCTTCCCCTTTTAATGGTCAATGTACATACACAGGAAGTGTCTATCCTTATGAACCGCCAGCCAATCCGCTTTTTGCTATCCATGGTGAGGGCCCGCACGTAGGATTGGGTAGTTCGGCACTGAGAGTTCCAGTGCCTTTTGTCTATGCCCCTGCAGCCTTCTTTCGTGTAGCCCATGGGATTGCACTTGGTCTCGTAGAAGTATTGCTTCAGTTGGCCTTTGGATACGGGGACCTTCTCCAGGACCGTGACAGTCCCACCCGACATGTCCACTGCAGTCTTTTTGTCCGCCGCGGTCACCCACTCGCTGATACTGTCACACACGCTCAGCTCCCCACGGCGGGCAGGGTCGGAGTGGCGCCGGACCCGCATGGACATATTTGCAGCATCCAGGTAATTTTTGTATTCCTCAAGCAGAAAGAGAAGAGGAGGCTCCAAAGGCACTTGACTACTGAGCATCACCCTGGAAGTGTACAAGTCCGCGTCCTTGCTGTTCTCTTCCTTGGGTGGGATTTTCTGGTCCTCATCCAACAGCTCTTCGATGACGTGTTCGAAGGTGTCAGCCAGTGACGTCAGGCCGCGTGAACCTGCCTGGGGCCCATTCACGCTCTCCAGAGTCCCATGGGTCCGCACACCCGGATAGGCCAAGCCGCCTTGTCCTCGGAGGTTGGCTTCTTTCATGGGGGCAGCCTTCATGCAACCGAAGTATGAAATAACCATAGTAAGGAAAAGGATGGTCATCACTCTTCTCACCTGGTGGAACTGCAGGGAGAAAGCAGAGAAAGAGGCAAAACTGGTTAGCAGATTGCTTCGCCGGGATACCATGTGGCCCATCTGATTGCAATTCAGACCATTCTGTGGGGTCAAGGTTTTTGGTGATTTTTTTTTTTAAAAACGTCTTGGTGATCAACTCCAGCTGTACTATACACAAATCAATGTCAGCAGTGGGCTCTATGGGGTTTAATATAAACCAGAGACATCCAGTGTTTTTCCTGAGACTTAGCATATAAACCTGAGATTAAATGTCTTCTAAGCAAGGTGGGGGGGGGGGGGGGGAATGGCTTCATTTCCCCTCCTTTCTCCCATTTTAACAGCTTTGTAAGTTTAATTTTTAATGATCTCCACTCAGGCTGTCATGAGAAACACAAAATCAGAAATGTTACTAAGCAACAATTGCAAGTGTAGTAGGAATTTTTTTTTCCCCGTTAGCTCTATGGTCCTTTGCTAGCGTATGTGACAAAAATAGAGTGGCCTGAGGGATTTGGTGGGTCTTTTGAGCTAAGGGATGTCTAGAATAACAGCCAAAAGCTGTAAGAAGCCTTCACGTTGACACTTTTCTCTCCCCTAGAGATAATCTATTATAACAAAGAAGAAAGGCAATTTCATGGGGCCACCATGTTTTACATAAAGAAACCAAAGACCATATAGGACTTGTCTTCTGTCATGAACAGAGTTTATATTAGTACGCAAGCTCCTAACCCCAGTGTTCTTTGTACTACACCTGGGTGGTCATGACTGAAAAAAAAAAATGTTGTACTTATTTCCAAACAGAAATCATTTTCTATAGGTTCATTTTAATGATGTGTCTATGCCTGAGGCTGATGTCATGAAAACAATGTATCTGGCTAGAAGAAAACTGGAAAAGTCAGTGTTAATAAGGCATTGAAAGCATTTAATCAATTTCAAATACCTCCCATATGCACACTTCACATTGTTCTCCACATACACTGTGAAGTCCCTCAGCCTTTGGCTTTTTCTGGACAGATTTTGTGAGTGTGTGTGTGTGTGTGTGTGTGTGTGTGTGTGTATACAAGTGTTTATGAATGTATGTGTATGTCCATGTGCATACGACTCTGAGTTTATCAAACTTTTAAAAGGATGAGCAGCTAGTGCTTCTTTCTGTGCTTTTTGAAGTTTTCTGGGAAGTCCCTTAACAGCACACCACAAAATTAATCTCTTCCTGTTTGCCAGAGGGTTACTGTACTCAGAATCTGGCTTTACGTCTATTAGCATGCTCCAAGAAGCCAATTAGAGTGAATAAATAAAATAGAAACATACCATACCTATGGACCAACCCAAGGTTATCGTCAGGTGGCGGAAGACTTCAGAATCACTTACCTGCATCCCTCAGTGGTACAGAGAAGCTGCCCCCAGCCCTGATACAGAACATTATGTTCTGGAGCACAGACTTTAAAAAGACACACACTCCAATCACTAAGGCTGTGTAAATCCACAGGAAATGAGACTTAGTTTCTGTCCTTGATTTGTCCCTACACCACCTAGGCAACCTACCTCCAAGCCAATACGTCACAATGCAAAAACGGCTGAAAACTCTGGTACTAAAAACCCAGGATTTCTATTATGCACTCTGGAAAGATATAGCACTTTCTACCACTAGGGGAGATTTCAATATCATTCCTGAATATAACATTTCCCTATAGATTCAAAGTTACTCTGCAGAATAATGAGCAAGCTCAGGAAAGCACAGCTTACACAGTGGTCTAAGATTAGGAAGAGAAAACTGGTTTGCGTGAAATGCATACATTCATTCTGCTGATACCTAAAGTTTTGTGAATCTTTTGGATTCTGCATCATCAGAGAAATGGATTCTCCAAGGAGGTTTCTATTCTGGGTAGATGGTAGTTATACTACTGAATGAAAACTCTTTCTTCTCATATTCCCAATCCAAATTAAACCACCCCAGGGGCTCCTCCAATTGAGGTGGATGAAAGAATGCAAATTTAAAATACTTCATTCCTCTGTATTTCACTGGTGTAGGTTTGTCATGGTTGACTATTTCAATACCCCATTTCATCAATTGTAAGTTACCATTACTTAAAAACTCACCCATTTATGTACCACCCAAACAAAACTGCAGGCAATATGGTCTTCTTTACTTAAAACTTTACTGTATACTTACACAGAGCATTGTTTTAGATTTATTTGGACACATTTTTTCCTAGGTAACTTTTGTGCATGCATAAAGCAGAAAAGGAAAGGGAACTGGTAAAGGCAGCAGCATCCACATCATGACTAGTTAGCCAAAAAAAAAAAGTGGCATCACCTGGGAGACACAAGCCAATTTGAGAAATGTTAAAATATGAAAAAAAAAATTAAAATAGGAAAAAGTGAGCTTTAGAATTAACGAAATGTAAGCTTGAAGTACATATTCACTAGGTGCCCACAGAAATTGCTTAAAATGCCTGGAGGCCTTGAAGCCTTTTAAGGCAGAGTTAGGAAATTGTTTTATTATCACTACTACAGTAATGAGTCTTTCACTGAGACCTCTTTATATACTTGACTTGAAGTACTACTTAGAAAAAGCAATTAATGCTTTGTATCATTTTCTCATCAGTTCCCCATGCAAATATTCCAAAGGAACAACTGGCATCTGGGTAAATATTACTTGGCATTAATTAAAGTCCACACATGGGTATCAGTCAAAGCTGAACACAAGCACAGATTCAGTAATTAACTAAATGATGATGAAGTCCACCTCCATACCTCCAGAGCTGCCCTCTGAGTGGCAACTCTGAAATTCTGCTGGCCTATTTGAGATAAGCGGATTAAAAGTAAAGTCAATACCTTCTGTCAAAACAAGGGTTTTGCTTTTTAACAACGGTTTCCCGACATTGTAGTTAATCCTGGTGTTTCTTAGAAATTTTAGAATGGGGTTTGACTGTACACTTCTTGCATAGCTTTTGAGGTAACTTAGTAAAAATATTCTACTAAAATTTTTTTCTTTTACAATATTCCTCCTATCCCTTTTTTTCTTCACCCCACTGCCACCATCTTGGCTGAGTCATTACCATCTCATTTTTCTGTCTACAGTTATCTTCTTGCTGAATTGGATATCGTTCCTGTTCTATCTGAGGTAAAATAAACATGTTCAACTTATTCTCTTACATGAATACTTGTAGTGGCTGTTTGATTCCTTCAGATCAAATTTAATCTCCTCTATCTGTTATTCCATACCTCCAAAACTCTGGCCTTATCCCACTGTGCTAATATTGTTCAAAATGCTACCAACTGTTCTCTAATAGGGCCAGAATCCTTGAAGCCTTCTATGTATTAGTGCTAAGAAGTAATTTATTATACTATTCTGGCAGCTCTCTTTCTCCATGCTTACATGTATCTCTTCCAGTTGGGCATTTTTCACAACCCTCTTAAGCATCATATCATACATGCAACCTTCTCTAATTACTTTCTCCTCTAAAATTACACAATACTATCTTATTTAGAATTCCATTCCCAATTTGACTGTTGCTAATGATATTTTCTAATTATGATCATTTCTCAGTTAGAATTAAGATTTCTAAGGAAATGGATCATACCATAACACCCATATGTTTAACACAGAAAAATTACTCGTAGTATTCAATAAAAACTTACTAATAGCTTTATGAAACCAAAAGAAAAGAGGGCATTGACACAATTTATATAAGAAAACTTTTCTTTTGGAAGTCATCTGTGAACACATTGAAATTCTTGAGTAAATTCTTGATTAGTGTGCTAACATCAAATTATGAACTCTAAGGAATTTAACTAACAGATGACAAGTATTGGCTAGAAACAAGTTCTTGATTTCTTCTAATGGGATAAAATTTTTACTTGAATGTTAAAGAACAAATAACACTAAAATATTTGAACTCTCCTACTATGTTTTATGTAGCTCTGTTTCCAGTGAATCCATTGATGGGAGACTAGAGGAAAAAACATGGATTAATACAAATAATAGCAAAATCCGGATTATTTTTACTCTTTTAAATCTTTTTCTTATTGTTAGAAACTGTTCAATAAGCAAGTTTATATTTAGGCAATCATAAAAGGTTGGATAAAGAATTTCTGTTATGCTTGAATATGTAATATTTTCTAGAGGCTCGTGTATTGAAAGCTTAGTCTCCAGCTAGTGTTACTATTTTAGGAGGTGTTGGAAACTTTGGGAGGTAGGGTCTGGCTAGAGAAAGTAGGTCACTGGGAGTATGGCTTTGATGGTGTCTTGTCCTTGGCCTCTTCCTCTCTCTTCTCTTTGCTTCCTGGTGTCATGAAGTGAGCAGCTTTCCTCCATCAAGGTCTTTGTCTATGGAGCTAGCTAACCATAGACTGAAACAGTGAGTCAAAATAAAGTGTTTCCTCCTTTTAAGTTGCTATGTCATAGGGATAAGAAACTAACACAGCTTCCATGACGATTCTCACATTTTTAACCTTGAGATGAATCGATATGCAAAAGGAAAAGGAGATGCGAAATGCTGCTAAGTAAATCGTAAGTTTATGCCTATTTTTACTAAACAAATTTATTGGTAACTGCCTAATTTTTCTGTTAGGCTTAACAACAACCTAACCATGTCTATAAAATGCTAGGAAGATTTTCATAGTTCTGCTCTAAGTACATAATACTGAAAAGATAACCAAGAAGATTGAAAGAAAGTTTATTTTGAAGTCTGAGGCCACAAGTCCTAAACACTCAGCTAAAGAGTACCTTTAGATAGCATGCTTGTCCTGCTACATTGCAGCAATAACTTGCATTTGTCAGAAAGACTATAGAACATTCCCAAGCATTAACTAATTTGATGGCTACAAGTAACAGGACAGGTAATATAATCCCCATTACATGGATGAAGCAATTACACTTCAGAAAGTTTAAATAACCTGTCAAATGTCACAAAGCTAATAGGTTACCTGTCTCTGGTCTAAGCTTTTACCACTAGAACATAATTGTCAGTTTCAGACTATTAATTGCAGGAAGAGAGAAGCTAGGACAA